TGTGCCCCAGATCTCAGTGGGGTTAACTTGTGACCATGGGCCCCAAACTCAGCTGGTTCTGCCCCAAATCTCAGCTCCTGGAACCAAAACTCAACTCTTGGCTCCAAGGCTCAACCAAGGTCCCTAAATCTGGGTGCAAATGCTCAAGACTGGGGAAAAGAGGGCCAGATTTGGGTCTGGGAGGGGCAAAAATGGGGTCATGGGCTGGAGGGAATGACCAGGGAAATGGGGACAGGTAGGGACACAGGGATGGGGTCAGGACCAAAATTAGAACCAGCAGCATGAGCCTCCCAACCCCAACAATCATAGGCGTTTTTGGCACAGCAGTAGGATCCGGAATCCTCGTCCTTGAGGTTGTTCATGGTCAGCGTCACCGAGCTCTGCCCGTTGTCCCTGGAGATCGTGACCTGGCCCCTGAACGATGGCACATAGTAGGTGCTGCCATCGCTTTGGATCCCTCCGATGTGTTCCAAGCCCTGCCTGGGTCTCTGTCGATACCAGCCCATCCCAAAACTGCCAAAACTGAACCCGAACCCTCGGCAGAGGAGGCGCAGGGACCCCCTGGGGGGTTTTTAGTTTCCCCCTGCACTCCAGCAGGGTCACGGCTGCCCGGAGCCCTGCGCAACAAAGGGAAGATGGGGATGGGAAAGCTGATTGGTTGAATGTCCCATACTGCATGTGGCCAGCTGGGAAAAGGGGCAGGACCCACCTGGGAGGAGGATGATGAACTCCATGGGTCCCAATTTCGGGGCCAAGAGTCAGGATTTGGGTCAAGGGTTGAGCTTTGGCCTCATCCCCATCTCCCCTTTGTCCCGCAGGGCTCCAGGCGGCCGTGACCCTGCTGGAGTGCGGGGGGCACCTTCAGCCCCCCGGGGGTTCCCTGCGCCTCCTCTGCCGGGGGTCCGGGTTCAGTTTCGGCAGTTTTGCCATGCAATGTATCCGCCAGAGACCCGGGCAGGGGCTGGAATGCGTCGCCTACATCAGGAGCGATGGTTCCGGCACCTTGTACGCCCCGTCGGTCAAGGGTCGGTTCACGATCTCCAGGGACAACGGGCAGAGCTCGGTGACGCTGACCATGAACAACCCCAAGGACGAGGATTCTGGATCCTTTTTCTGTGCCAAAGCTGCTTGTGCTGCTTGGGCTGCTGCTGCCTTTATTGACCGTGCCGGTGGCGGCAGCGCCCTCGTCTGAGCCCCTCTTTTCCCCAAATCTCAGAACCTTTACCCAAATCTCTGCCCTTGACCTCATTTTTGACCCATTTGCCCAGATCTCCCCCATTTCCACCAATGGTGACCAAAGACCCCAAACCCTGACTGGTTCTGCCCCAAACCCTCCTACTTTGGCCCCAAAACTCACCCGATTCTGCCCCAAATCGCCACTTTGGGCTCCCAGCCACAGCCGCTGACATAAACCTCACCCGCTGTCCCCAAATCTCGACCCTTTGGGCACTTATGGGGCACAAGGGGGAGATTTGGGGCCGAGAGTTGAGTTTGGGGCCAGACCCAGGGGAGGGTTAGGGGCCAATGGGCAGTGTTGGGGCAACGGGGGCATGGCTGGGACAAAGGGTCAGGGGTGAGTCAGGGGGGTTTGGGGCCAATGGTTGAGTTTTGGGGCAGAAACAGGTGAGGGTTTGGGGTCAGTGCTGACCATTGATGCAAATAGGGACAAAGGGTCAAGATCTGAGACAAGCGGTGAGGTTTGGGACGAAAATTGAAAATTTGGAGATGCAATGATAGGACAGGAGCAAAATCTAGAAGTTTGACGCTATCAACAGCATTGTCACCATGATTAGCAATAGCCCAACAACCAGCACAAAAAGCCCTGGCACAGAAATAGGATCCGGAATCCTCGTCCTTGAGGTTGTTCATGGTCAGTGTCACCGAGCTCTGCCCATTGTCCCTGGAGATCGTGAACCGACCCTTGACCGATGGCCTACACCATGTGCTGGCACCATCATTGCTGATGCTGGCAATGAATTCCAGCCCCTGCACAGGCCTCTGCCGATACCAGCCCATCCCAAAACTGCCAAAACTGAAGCTGGACCCTCGATAGAGGAGGCGCAGGGAGCCCCCAGGGGGCTGGAGGTCCCCCCTGTACTCCAGCAGGGTCACGGCCGCCCGGAGCACTGCGGGACCAAGGGGAGATGGGGATGAGGCCAGAGCTCAACCACTGACCCAAATGCTGACTGTTGGCCCAAAACTGGGATCCTTGGAGTTTATCACCCTCCCCCCAGGAGGATTCTACCCCTTTGTCCATCTGGCCACACCCACTTGGAGGCCCTTGACCAATCAGACTTTTGATTTCCATCATCTCCCGTTTATCCCGCAGGGCTCCGGGCGGCCGTGACCCTGCTGGAGTGCGAGGGGCACCTCCAGCCCCCCGGGGGGTCCCTGCGCCTCTTCTGCCATCGGTCCGGCTTCAATTTTGGCAGTTCTGACATGCACTGGATCCGGTAGAGACCCAGGCAGGGGCTGCAATTCCTGGCAGGGATCAGAAGCGGTGGCAGCACCAAATACTCACCGTCGGTGCAGGGCCGGTTCACGATCTCCAGGGAAACAGGCAGAGCTCGGTAACGCTGACCATGAACAACCTCAAGGACGAGGATTCCGGATCCTATTTCTGTGCCAAACATTTTGGTGCTTGGGCTGGTTATGGTGCTGATGGTTTTGGCCTCCATCCAACCCCCATGGCTGGGACCCCACCTTTGCTCCTCCCCTGGTCATGCCTTCAAAGCTCCACCCCTTACTCTATTCTTCAGGGTTTGTTCTCATCCTCCAAAACTGTGTGTCCAAATTCACAGAATTCACAGAATTCACAGAATTCACAGCTTAGAAGAGACCTTCAAGACCCTCGAGTCCAACCCAGCCCCAACTCCTCATCCCTGGGACCCAGTGCTACCTCCAGGCTTTGTTGAATCCACCAAGGGTTGGTCACACCATCCCTTCCCGGGCAAACCAATCCACTTCTTTTTGACTCGTTTTATGAAAAACTTTTTCCTGATTTCCAACCTAAATTTCCCTCAGGTCCTGCCCAACCTGAGGGGCCGGAGCTGGGCACAGCCCTGGAGGTGTCGCCTCACCTGTGCCAAGTAAGGGGGCAAAATGACCTTCCTGGCCATGCCTCTCCTTGGGGCCAAGATGTGGGGCCAGGAGCTGAGATTTGGGGCCAAAGCTGTGCCTGGTTGGGACAAAGGGTCGGGAGTGGGGTCTGGGGTTAGGGTTTGGGGAGATGGGGGTCCCCAATAGCTGCTCAATAGCATCAACACTATAACCACCACCACGAGCATCAGGACGTTTGGAGCAGAAATAGGATCCAGAATCCTCGTCCTGGAGGTTGTTCATGCTCAGCGTCACTGAGCTCTGCCCATTGTCCCTGGAGATCGTGACCCGGCCCTTGACCGATGGTGCGTACCAGGTGCTGCCACTAGGGTTTATCTCTCCAATGTACTCCAGCTCCTGCCCGGGTCTCTGGCGGATCCAGAACAGGGTGACACTGCCGAAACTGAACCCAGACCCTCGGCAGAGGCGGTGCAGGGACCCCCCGGGGGGCTGGAGGTCCCCCCCGCACTGCAGAAGGGTCACGGCCGCCCGGAGCCCTGTGGGACAAAGGGGAGATGGGGATGAGGAACCTTATTGGTCGAGGGCCTTAAAGCAGGCGTGGCAACCTGGAAAAAGAGGTGGGACCCACGTGGGAGGACCGTGATGAACTCCAAGGGTCCCAGTTTTGGGTCCAGAGTCAGGATTGGGGTCAACGGTTGAGCTTTTGCCTCATCCCCATCTCCCCTTTGTCCCGCAGGGCTCCGGGTGGCCGTGACCCTGCTGGAGTGCAGGGGGGACATCCAGCCCCCTGGGGGATCCCTGCGCCTCCTCTACCAAGAGTCCGGGTTCAGTTTCGGGGGTCACTCAATGCAATGGATACGCCAGAGACCCAGGCAGGTGCTGGAATGGCTCGCGGGGATCCACAGCTCTGGGTGTTTCACATACTGCGCCCCATCAGTCAAGGGCCGGGTCAGGACCTCCAGGGACAACGGGCAGAGCTTCACAGCACTGACCATGATCGACCTGCAGGACAAGGATGCCGGATCCTTTTTCTGTGCCAAAGCTGCTGGGGCTGATGGGGATGACCATGATGCCAATGCTATTGACTCCACCCCTATTGTTGTGTCCCCAAATGTCCACATTCCCCAGACCCTTCCCAAATCCCAGCCCTCGTCCCCGCTCTCGGTGACTGAATTCGTGTCCCCAGCCCCGGCCCAGCGCTGACCTTTGGGGCAGAGTTTGGGGGAAGATCAAGGGCTCAGGGTTGGGGTTTGGGGCCGGAGAGGGGAAAGGCAAATGGAGAAATGGTCATGGGCTGGGTCAGGGGCTGGGAGCTGGGGAAGGGTCTGGGGAACGGGGACAGGTGGGGACGCAGCAATGGGGAAGGGGTCAATACAGCAGGCATCATTATCACCAGCATAACCAGCAAAACCCTTGGCGCAGAAATAGGAACCGGAATCCTCGTCCTGGAGGTTATTCATGCTCAGCATCACCGAGCTCTGCCCGTTGTCCCTGGAGATCCTGAACCGGCCCTTGACCGATGGTGCATAGAAGGTGCTGCCCCTGCTGTGGATTCCCGCGGTGTATTCCAAAACCTGCCCAGGTCTCTGGCGGACCCAGCTCATTCCAAAATTGCCGAAATTGAACCCGGACCCGCGGCAGAGGAGGCGCAGGGACGCCCCAGGGGGCTGGAGGTCCCCCCCGCACTGCAGTAGGGTCACGACCGCCCGGAGCCCTGTGGGACAAAGGGGAGATGGGGATGAGAAACCTGATTGGTCGACGGCCTAAAAGTGGGTGTGGCCTGCTGGTAAAAATGGGGGAACCCACCGGGAAGGGCCACCAGGAGCAGCAGGATGACAGCAGATTGTCACGATTTGGGGCCAACAGCCAGCATTTGGGTCAATGTTGAGCTTTGCCCTCATCCCCATCTCCCCTATTTTCCCGCAGGGCTCCGGGCAGCCATGACCCTGCTGGAATGCGGGGGGGAACTCCAGCCCCCCGGGGGGTCCCTGACATTGCTGTGCCAAGGGTCCGGGTTCAGTTTTGGGAGTGTTGCCATGAGCTGGGTCCGTCAGAGACCCGGGCAGGGGCTGGAGTTCGTCGCCTACATCCGCAGCGGTGGCAGCACCTGGTACGCCGATTCGGTCAAGGGCCGGTTCATGATCGCCAGGGACAACGGGCAGAGTCTGATGACGCTGACCATGACCAACCTCAAGGTCGAGGATTCCACTCTTTATTTCTGTGCCAAAAATTGGGATGATTGTTGTGCTCCTGCTGCTGGTGAGGATGTTGATTGTGGTGATGTTGATCATGGTGGTTTTGGCCCTGCTCCCATTTGGAGTCCCCCCTGTCCTCAAACCCAGAGCCTTACTCCAAAACCTCAGCCCTTGACACTTGTGACCATTGGCCCGAGAATCCCTCTGGGGCAGCCAGTAATCTGCCACCCTGTCCCCAAACTCAAGCTGCGGGCATTAAATCTTGAGGGTTCAGCACAAAAATTGGCACCAAGGGCGAAGGGGTGGGGCCGAGAGTTGGGAGTTTGGGGGAGAATGGGGGAGATTTGGGACAGAGCCAGTTCAGAGCTGGGACACGGGGACAGGAATGGGGTCAGGGGCTGGGGATTGGGGGAAGTGTCTGGGGAACCCTGACAGTGGGGACATAGCAATGGGTGCAGGGTCAATACAATAGGCACAAGTATAACCAGCACAGCCACCAGCACCCTTGGCAGAGAAATAGCATCCGGAATCCTCGTCCTTGAGGTTGGTCATGGTCAGCGTCACCGAGCTCTGCCCATTGTCCCTGGAGATCCTGAACCGGCCCTGCACTGATGGTGCGTAGCAGGTGCTACGACCATTGTCGCTGATACTGGCGATGTATTCCAGCCCCTGCCTGGGTCTCTGGTGCATCCAGCCCATTGCAACACTCCAAAAATCGAACCCGGACCCTCGGCAGAGGTGGCGCAGGGACCCCCCGGGGAGCTGGAGTTCCCCCCCGCACGCCTGCAGGGTCACGGCCGCCCAGAGCCCTGCGGGAAAAAGGGGAGATGGGGATGAGAAACCTGATTGGCTGAGGGCCTGCAGTGGGTGTGGCCAGCTGGAAAAAGGGATAAGACCCACCTGGGAGGGTGACCAGGAGCAGGAGGAGAGGGATAAATTGTTAAAACCGGGGGCTAATAGTTGGGATTTTGTGGTCAAGGGTTGAGCTTTGGCCTCATCCCCATCTCCCCTTTGTCCCGCAGGGCTCCGGGCGGCCGTGACCCTGCTGGAGTGTGGGGGGGACCTCCAGCCCCCCGGGGGGTCCCTGCGCCTCCTCTGCCGAGGGTCCGGGTTCAGTTTCGGCAGTTTACCATGCACTGGTTCCGCCAGAGACCCGGGCAGGGGCTGGAATGGGTTGCGGGGATCAGGAACGATGGTTCCAGCACCGGGTACGCGGATTCAGTCAAGGGCCGGTTCAGGATCTCCAGGGACAACGGGCAGAGCTCGGTGGCGCTGACCATGAACAACCTCAAGGACGAGGATTCCGGATCCTATTTCTGTGCCAAACGTTCTTATGCTGATAATTGGGGCCCTCCTGCTATTGGTAAATGCACCATTGGGGGATCCATCCCCATCTCAGTGTCCCCACCAGTCCCCAAAGCCGAAAACCCTTCCCCCACACCCAAGTCCCCAGTCTTGCCCCTTTGTCCCAGATCTGCCCCATTTCCCCCAATGGCAACAAAAGACCCCAAACCCCCAACTGGTTCTGCCCAAAACCCTCCTGCTTTGGCCCCAAACCTCGCCCGATTCTGCCCCAAATTCCCGCTCTGGGCTCCCAGCCGCAGCCGCTTACCCAAACTTCACCCACTGTCCCCAAATCTAGGCCCTTGGGGCACTTTTGGGGGTCGGGGGAAAGATTTGGGACCGAGAGTTGAGTTTGGGGCCAGACCCAGGGCAGGGTTTGGGGCCAATGGGCAGTGTTGGGGCTAAGGGGGCGGGGCTGGGACAAAGGGTCAGGGGTGGGTCAGGGGGGTTTGGGGAAGATGCTGGGGACAGCTGGGGACAGGGATGGGGTGAGAACCCCAAACAGTAAACCAAACAACAATAATAGCAGTAAGAGCGGTGCTAACACCTGAAGATTTGGCACAGAAATAAGATCCGGAATCCTCGTCCTTGAGGTTGTTCATGGTCAGTGTCCCCGAGCTCTGCCCGTTGTCCCTGGAGATCCTGAACCAGCCCTGAACCAATGGCGCGTAGTAGGGGCTGCCACCTTTGCTGATACTTGCGACTGGCTCCAGCCCCTGCCCGGGTCTCTGACGGATCCAGCACATGGCAAAATTCCCAAAATCAAACCCGGACCCTCGGCAGAGGAGGCGCAGGGATCCCCCGGGGAGCTGGAGGTCCCCCCCGCACTCCAGCAGGGTCACGGCCGCCCTGAGCCCTGCGGGACAAAGGGGGGATGGGGATGAGAAACCTGATTGGCTCAGGGCCTCAAAGTGGGGGTAGACAGCTGATAAAATGTGGTGCACCCACATAGGCTGGACACCATGAGCAGGAGGAAAAGGAATTAATGTCAAATTTGAGGCCAAAATTAATAATGTTGGGGTCAATGTTTGAGCTTTGGCCTCATCCCCATCTCCCCTTTGTCCCGCAGGGCTCTGGGCAGGCCGTGAACCTGCTGGAGTGCGGGGGCGACCTCCAGCCCCCCGTGGGGTCCCTGCGCCTCCTCTGCCGAGGGTCCAGGTTCGATTTTGGGAGTTCTCACATGCTCTGGATCCGTCAGAGACCCAGGCAGGGGCTGGAGTGGCTCGCCGGGATCAGCAGCAGTGGTTCCAACACCGTCTACGCGCCATCATCAAGGGCCGGGTCACGATCTCCAGGGACAACGGGCAGAGCTCGGTGACGCTGACCATGAACAACCTCAAGGACAAGAATTCTGGATCCTATTTCTGTGCCAAGAATGCTCATAGTGCTTAATATAATCACGCTGCTGCTTATCATTTTACCCTATCTCTGTCCACAGGGTCTCCCCTGTCCCCGTTCCTCAGACCCTTTTCCCAAATTCATGCCCTGACCCCATTCCTGTCACCGTGCCCCAACCCTGCTCTGGCTCTGCCCCACATTCTCAGCTCCTGGCCGCACACCTCAGCCCGGGGCCCCCTCGGGGCCATTTTGGCTGCTGGGCTGGCCCCGGCCCCTCTGCCAGGATGCCTGGGCTGAACTCTCCCAACTCTGCCCAAATCTGCGCTGCTTGCCCCGAGTAGCCACCACTGACACAAATCCCCAAATCCGACCCAAATCGGGGCCCTGGGGCCCAAACCCCGACCTGCAGAGCAAAGATTTGGGGCACAGAGAGGAGATTTGGGTTCAGGAGTTGTGGTTTGGGGTCAGCAGGCGAGAACTGGGGCCGAGGCAGAGCAAGGTTGGGATCAATGGTCAAGGGCTGGGTGTGGGCTGGGGGTGTGGGGGAAGGGTCTGGGCAACGGAGACAGGAGGGGATTTGGAGATGGGGATGGGGTCAGCACAGGCATTGTGAACATACCTAGCACCAATATTCCAACCATCATAATCAGTTTTGGCACAGAAATAGGATCCAGAATCCTCGTCCTTGAGGTTGTTCATGGTCAGCGTCACCGAGCTCTGTGAGTCGTCACTAACCATCGTGAACCGGCCCTTGACCGAATCTGCATACCAGGTGCCACTTTTTCTACTGATCCTTGCGACCAATTCCAGCTTCTGCCCGGGTCTCTGGAGGATCCAGCCAATCCCAAATTTCCCAAAATCAAACCCGGACCCTCGGCAGAGGAGGCGCGGGGACCCCCCAGGGGGCTGGAGGTCTCCCCCGCATTCCAGCAGGGTCACGGCCGCCTGGAGCCCTGCGGGACAAAGGGGAGATGGGGATGAGATATCGGACTTGTTAAGAGCCTTCAAGTCGGTGTGGCCAGCTGGGAAACATGAAGGGACCCATCTGGGAGGAGGATGATGAACTCCAGGGGTCCCAGTTTGTGGCCAATAGTCAGGATGTGGGTCAAGGGTTGAGCTTTGGCCTCATCCCCATCTCCCCTTTGTCCCGCAGGGCTCCGGGCTGCCGTCACCCTGCTGGAGTGTGGGGGGGACCTCCAGCCCCGCGGGGGGTCCCTGCGCCTCCTCTGCCAAGGGTCCGGGTTCAGTTTTGGGGATTATGGAATTTTCGGGATCCACCAGAGAACTGGGCAGGGGCTGGAGCCAGTCGCAAGTATCAGCAAAAGTGTCAGCGCCTACTATGCACCGTCAGTCAAGGGCCGGTTCACGATCTCCAGGGAAAACGGGCAGAGCTCGGTGACGCTGACCATGAACAACCTCAAGGACGAGGATTCCGGATCCTATTTCTGCGCCTATTTCTGGTGGCAATGCTAATTTTGCCGGTGCTTTTTGCCCTGTCCCCATCGCTGTGTCCTCAGCTGTCCCCAGACCTTTCTCCTGTGGTCACACATGGCCAGCGTCACCAAGCTCAGCCTGCTGTCCCTGGCCGTGCTGACCCAGCCCTTGACCGATGAACCGTTCCAGGTGACTCCACCCTTGCACCCATCTGCTGCGCTCAGCAAGGAGCCCTTGGCTCGAGATCAATTTAAACAGTTTCATCTCCCCAAAATTTCATGTGTTTTTGGTTAAAAAAGGGGGTTTATTCTCCAGAGCTCGCAGAGAGGATTCCAGCCCCAGCCCCAAGGAGCAGCCCCAGACACCGAGGCCGCTGAGGGAGAAGTGAAGCCCCAGGTGGGAGCGAGGGAGGGAGGGAGGAGAAGACGCCGTGATTTTGGGGCTCTGCAGCCTCCCCCCACTTCCTCCCCGGCAGCTGCTGGGGCCCAGCCGGGGCAGGAAAGGAAACAGAAAGTCCCTGGTTTTGGTCATTGTGAACATCTGTGTTTGGCAGAGGGCAGCTCAGCCTCTGGTCGCTGCGGTAGAGGAGGTCTAAGGGTCCCAATTCGGGGCCAAGGTTCAGGATTTGGGTCAAGGGTTGAGCTTTGGCCCCATCCCCATCTCCCCTTTGTCCCGCAGGGCTCTGGGCGGCCGTGACCCTGCTGGAGTGCGGGGGGGACCTCCAGCCCCCCGGGGGGTCCCTGCGTCTCCTCTGCCGAGGGTCCAGGATCAGTTTCGGAAGTTAAGACATGTTCTGGTTGCGCCAGAGATCCGGGCAGGGGCTGGAGTGGGTTGCGAGTATCAGCTACAATGGTGGTTGGACCGGGTACGCGCCATCGTTCAAGGGTCGATTCATGATCTCCAGCGAAAATGGG